TGACCCTGTGAATGTCTATTAGCCAGTCTGGATGACTCAGGAGTGTCTACTCCCTAGCATGTGTGACCCCAGAAGTGTCCATATGCAAATCTGTTTGACCCCAGGACCATCTGCTTCCCACTTTGTTTGACTACTATAGTGTCAACATGGTAGTCAATCTGACCCCAGAAGTGTCTACTACCCACTCTGCATGACCTCAAGAGTGTGCAGACTTCAGTGTGTATGATTCAAGGAGTAACCACTCCCTACGGTTTGTGACTTCTGGATTGCCCAGACCCCCATCTGAGTAACCCAAGGCTGTCCACCCCCTAGAGTATACTACCTCATGTGGTGGCCACACCCCTATCTATGTGGCTCCACGACTGTTCACACTCCACTCTGTGTGACTCCAGAATTATGCACACCACTATCTCTGTGACCTGAAGGGTGTCCACACGATGGTATATTCTAAGACAGTACTGGATTCCTCAGCATTGCTACTCCCCCACATCCTCTGTGGATGTGACCTGAGAGTGGATGTTCATACCTAATTCAGCAGATCATTGTGTCCCTAGCTCCGGCCCACACTACCAAGTGACCTCTTCTATTCCTATTTCCCCTCACTCTCTCCAGTGGACCATTCAATTCCCATAGCCTCCTCCCCAACCACACATATATATATATCCACATTCCCAAATAGACCATCCCAGCCCCAGACCCTGCAGATTTTGAAGAGAGCAAAGACCAAGACAGGTAGCCTCCCGCGACAGACTCCAGCCTGCAGGGAGTAGTGGAGAGGAAGCCAGTAAAGGCACCATTAATGGGAGTAAAACCTTCCAGGATCTTGTGAAACATTTATGGAAATCAACATTTTACACCCTCTTCCTCCCCAACTAGAATGTCAGCTCCATGTGGGCAAGGACATTTGTCCATCTAGTTCTTTAATGTCACCGCAGCACCTAGAACAGCAGTCAGTACACAGAACACACTCATTAGGTGTTTGGTGAATGAATGAACCCTCTGACCCCTCAATTCCACTTCTAACTCTAACATGCATGTACATTTTCAGAGCTGTGTGCACAAGGCTGGTAGGAGCCAACAATTGGTACAACCTTGTAAATGTCCACCTATAATATAGCCAATGACTTTCACAGAGTGACATGAATGCTGGGGGTTCATATTCTACCACAGAGCACCCGCTGGGTGTGAGACAGAATGAGTGAGACCTGTGTGTGCCTTCCACAGGACAGGCTGTTGACAAAGAAAAGCAGGTGGGGCCTGGTTATGGTGACACGTGTGCACGAGTGTAAGGAAACACTAGCAACTGTCCTCAGTGGTAATTTTTGGAGACTGGAGGATGTCCTTGTAGTCCATATACTGATGTACTGTTGAAACTTTTTATGCAAACCTATATGTAGTATAAGGGGAAAATCATATGCTAAAGTCAATAAGCATAGCACAGCGAACTTGTGTGTGTGGGGGGGGTATATCTGGGGTGTGCCTAGGAAAATTTCAAACTCACAT